AAGCCTATGGAGTGCTAACAGCTCAACCGAACCACCTGGCCATTCCGGACCATTTTCCGAGACTGTCAAATGTTTCTACGACCGCAAACTGACCAACCTCATTGCAAACAACAGCGATATATGGTGGACAAACAGCGCCCAAATGGCCAGCACTATGGACCAGTTGGCCAGCGAAACGGACAATTTTAATTACGCCATGCGCACAGACATCGCCGACCTGATGCACCTGATAGATGGCAATATGGTAATATGGACCAAGCACAATTTGGAGAGCACCGGGGAGCATTCGGCCTGGGAGGTCAACTACAACCGGCGCATATACGCCATGCGGGATATGGTGCGCATGATGTCCGACGTTATACACCGCGCATTTACTGGGAGACCCGGTGCCGACTCCGGGCACCACCTAGATGATTTAAAAACAGCCATACCCAATTACGATCGCATTATGACCCAGGTGTACGAGGCTTATGACGAGCCCACCGAAGCTGGTTTTATAGTGTGCGCCTCCTTCTGGTACAGCGATCTGACCGCCGGTGTGTTGCGGGCCATCGATGCCAAGGCCGCCACATTGGATGATGCGAAGTATCTAGATCGTTTTCGCGAAAACTGGATTGAAATTAAAAACGGACTCTACACCGAGTTTGAAGCTATACAAAACTTTTCTCAGTAATTGGTTAGGGTCTACGAAATTTGTTTGTTTAACTTTAATAATATTGACAAAGTATTATAATTATTAATTATATTGTAGTATGTATAATGTTGTATTTATGTTAACTTTATTTTAATTTTACGTATGCAAGATATTTTTATTTATTTCTACTCTACTGTATAAATAAAATGTTATTTGATAAGTAAACCTTAAGCTAAAAATTTAATTGTAATTATATCTCAAAATACTGTATTAATATTTTAATCATGGCTTTTTAATTTTAATTATTACGGTTAAATACTGTCTTATATATTAATTAGGAAGACACCTAAATATCTATAAATAAATTTATTTAACTAGAAACAAAATCACTGTCACTAAATCAAAACAAATTATTCAAATTAATTTATTTTAATTATAAAATAATTATATTCTCATTAACTATATCTGGAAATGATTGAATGAATTACTGTTTACTATTTAATTACATTGAATAATAAACATATATTTTCTAACGAAATAATAAATTTATAAATAAATTTAAACGACATTCAAGTAATATTAATGTAAATTTAGACAAACAATTATAACGAAGCATGTCTGCATCTTAATCAAAACAAAAGTATAACTACTCACCTAGCTGCCACGAAAATAATAATTATTATTATTTAACAAAATATTAAACTAACCATGATGTTAGCAAAAATTGTAACTGCAATGTTATGCCTATGGACTGTCCAAAGCGCACCCGCCGGTGCGGACAATTATCAGCTATTTTCCGAACTGTACAAATGTATGGTAGATAACAAAACGACCGCGCTCATCGCCAATAACGCGGACACCTGGGTGGCCAACGGTAAACTAATGGCCGATGCGATGGCACAGTTAGCCTTGGAAACAGACAATTTTAATTATGCCATGGCCACCGACGTGGCCGATATTATGCGTTTGCTGGATGGTAATTTAGTGATGTACACCAAGCACAATTTGGAAAGCACCCAGGGCCATTCCGACTGGGAGCTCAACTATAACCAACGTGTGTTTAATATGCGGGGTATGTTTCGCCAAATGAGCACGATTATACATGATACATTTGCTGGACAACCCGGTGGCGACTCAGGGCACCCTTTAAGCGCGTTGAAAGTGGCCTCGCCCATTTACGATCGGCTTATCACCCAGGTGTATCAGGAGCTGGATGGGCCCAACGAGCGCGCTTGGATGCTATGCGCCTCCACCTGGTTCAGAGATTTGCATGTGGGTCTGGTAAGGGCTATAGACGCCAAAGCGGCCACCTTAGATGATCATAAATACCTAGATGATTTTCGCAGCAAATGGAATGAGTTTTTAGGTAATATGGCAGATGAGTTTGCCACTACTCAAACTAATATCTAGAATCTAGATCTTTAAAAATGGGAATTCCCATTTTTAGAATTCTTTTATTAATTATTGTTATTATTAATAATATAATAATTTAATAACTTATTAAACATTAACGTTAATTTATTAAAGCAACTGAATTTTATGCTTATAAAATAAACTTTATTTGCATTTTTAAAAATAACTTTAAACAACAAACACACACAACTTGGTGTAGAATAATTAGTGTAGATTAAGAGACGTGCGAAAATTGAAGGGAGCTAAACAATATTGACGTGGTTTCTGATTCACCATGTTAACTCGTTAACATTATATATGATTAAGCCATGAATAAGGTATAAATTACAAAGCATATTAAAATACTGTGTACGCCTAGATGTACGCACACAATCTTACTAGTGTAGATTTTAAAATATTGTAAAACACATCTAAACATGATTATAGTTAAAAGTATTAAATCTAAGCATGCAAAATAGCGATTGTCTCAATAAAATCGGGACGGTTGGTCACTATAATCCAAACACAAATTAGTCAATGTGTAAATGCATAACAGTAATGATAACATTCTTATTATTTCACATTTATTATAAATTATTTACTAATATAAGAAACATATTATTATATTTCCTATTTACTGTACTATCAATCTATTCATCAAAATATTTTATTAAACACAAGTATTTTATTTATGGTGAATAGATTGTTTTGGAGATAGTACGAATATTGTAATTATCATAGAATTTTGATTAGAATAACAACATTTCATTTGTCAAATCAATATTACATTAATAATTTTGACATTACCATTAGCAGTTCCTATATGTAGAAAATATTTTATTTTTTAACTTCTTATTAAAATGTTGAAATGTAAAAGGATGTTAATTGTAATGTAATGGTAATAAAATACAAATTATGAAAACATTTTTAAAAATTAAATTTAAATTTCCTACAGTTTGTAATGAATGCACAGATTGTGTGGAGTTTTATGAGACTTCAAGACATGGAATTAAATGTAAGAAAAATATGAACAGAATATTAAAATCTGATAAACATTTGTTTGATTTTAATGTAAAACTTTTAATGAATTACCAATTATTGCAAAAAATTAACAAGATTATAACAAAGACATTCTTTTATTAAATAATTGTTTTAAATAATTTATATTTTATTATATTCTCAAACTTGTACTTTCAAATTATTAATTTTTTGAATAAATTATTATTAATACATTATAATCTTAAATTAATGCAATATGGTCAAATAATAAATATCACTGTATCAATTAAGCAGTAAATCTGAAATTATTAAAAAAATTTTAATAATAAATTTGTAATATTTCACTATTAAACTAATTGTGTAAATCATTGATTTAATAAAATATGTAAAAATATAATCTAACTTTTGTATATTTTAAACACTAACCTGATAAATTCTATTTTGGCAATTTAACATTAATTTATTTATTATTAATACTATGATAACATTTGTTTAAACAGGTTTTTTAAATAAAAATTAAAAAGTTATAAAAAGTTTAAAATAAACTATAACATTTTTTAATGTTGACGTAAAAAATTTACTAAAAAATAAATCATTGTCTAAAAATTTGATACACCAACTGTGTTGAAAAAATCTAATAAGTTTACTGATTATTACATCGACACAAGCTGTTTATCAATTAATTTTGTATACTTTATAATACTTAATTATATAAATAATCTATCTAAAGGTGTTTAATCTAAACACCAGCTAAATTATATATAATTAATTTACATAAACTATAATTCCTGACAGAATTCTATTGTACTTCATTACATAGTTTCCAAATAACCAAGATGATTTTCATTTAATAATAAATTTACGAATAATTTTTATAGTTTATAGTATACTCTGTAGGTAGTAATCAATTCAATTGAAAATTATTAATTTATATTAAATTTTATTAAAATTATATTAAAATATTAATTTTCATGCGAACAATGATCAAAATTAAAACATTAATAATGATTTATTAAATGTATTGTTTATAAGATTATGTAATTTTTTTTATTTAATGCTCTCACTTTATCACGGTTAAATACTGTCCTAAGTAATTAATTAGAAGAACACCTAGATATCTATAAATAAATATATTTAACTAGAAATCAAATCACTGTCAGTAAATCAAAATAACGGTTATTCAAATGTAATTTATTTTAATTATGGAATAATTATATTCTCATTAACTATAGCTAAAAATCATTTGTTAAAATAAATTTTTCTTTTATTAATTAATTACTTTGAATAATAAACAGATATTTTCTAACAAAATATCAAATTTATAAATAAATTTAAACGACATTCAAATAATATTATTATAAATTCATAACAGTTATAACAAATCATGTTTGCATTTTATAATTACCTTAATCAAACAAAACTATAAATACACAAAAATTCAGATAATAATTATTTAACCAAAAATTAAACTAACCATGATGTCAACAAACATTGCCATTGCTATTGTAATGTTATGCCTGTGGACTGTCCAAAGCGCACCCGCCGGTGCCGACAATTATCAGCTATTTTCCGAACTGTACAAATGTATGGTAGATAATAAAACGACCGCGCTCATAGCCAATAACGCGGACACCTGGGTATCCAACGGTAAACTAATGGCCGATGCGATGGCACAGTTGGCCGCCGAGACGGACAATTTCAATTATGCCATGGCCACCGATGTGGCCGATCTTATGCGCTTGCTGGATGGTAATCTCATAATGTACACCAAGCACAATTTGGAAAGCACCCAGGGCCATTCCGACTGGGAGCTCAACTATAATCAACGTGTGTTTAATATGCGGGATTTGTTACGCCAAATGAGCACAATTATGCATGATACATTTGCTGAACAACCCGGTGGCGACTCGGGACATCCGTTAAGCGCGTTGAAAGTGGCCTTGCCCATTTACGATCGGCTCATCACTCAGGTGTATCAGGAGCTGGATGAGCCCAACGAGCGCGCATGGATTTTATGCGCCTCCACCTGGTTCAGAGATTTGCATGTGGGTCTGGTGCGAGCCATAGACGCCAAAGCGGCCACCTTAGACGATCATAAATACCTAGATGATTTTCGCCGCACATGGAATGAGTTTTTGGGTCATATGGCAGATGAGTTTGCCACTACTCAAACTAATATCTAGAATCTAGATCTTTAAAAATGGGAATTCCCATTTTTAGAATTCTTTTATTAATTATTGTTATTATTAATAATATAATAACTTATTAAACATTAACGTTATTATGCAACTGAATTTTATGCTTATAAAATAAACTTTATTTGCATTTTTGAAAATAACTTTAAACACCAAACAAGAAACACACACAACTTGGTGTAGAATAATTAGTATAGATTTTAAAATATTGTAAAACACATCTAAACATGATTATAGTTAAAAGTATTAAATCTAGGCATGCAAAATAGCGATTGTCTCAATAAAATCGGGACGGTTGGTCACTATAATCCAAACACAAATTGGTCAATGTGTAAATGCATAACAGTAATGATTACATAATCATTTTTGTTGAAAATAATATAACATTTTTCTGCTATAATAATAATTTATTAATTATGAGTTTAAACAAAATCTACCATAAATACAAATAATTATGTTATATACAAATTGTCATCTTTCGAGTTAAACAATTCGCGCAAAAACTTAATACTTTCATATGATTTGTGTGATATTGTTTGACTCAAATCCATGGCATGTATTACAGCGAAGAGCGGGTAAATGTCCACAGCGTTGGTATAGTTTGGCAAATGTTTCAAAGCCTATTGAATTTAAGCATTTGATAAATAATTGATAAATACACAATTCTCTCTCTCTCTCTCTCTCTCTCTCTCTCTCTCTCTCTCTCTCTCTC